GATTTTTCCGAAGATTTGTGATATGAATTTTCAATTTTATGAGATCGACTTCAAATAAATTCAAGTTTTCCCAAAAAAAAAAAAACATAATTCCACTCCATCCTCCATGTGAATAATTAATTAATCTCTTAAACAATGGACGTTTTTCCAATCCATTAGAAAATTAAATTAAATTAAATTAAATCCCGATAAAATAATTTCCTTTCCCCGTAACCCCAGTAATTTTCCGTACCAATAAAAATTTTCCAAAACCGTAAAATTCAATTAACGAGACTTCACTGAATTCGATAAATGAAAGTCGTAACACAGTTTTTTCCCATTTCCCTGACACCCACGTCCGGCAGAATCCCCCAGTCAATGTAATTGTTTCCAAATGGATGCCTTCATCAACTGGAGCCGCTAATTAGTCGCCGGCAAACCGCGAAATTTCAATAAATCGCTAGCCCGATATATCGAAAGATACCAAAAATGTAAACGTAATTAAACGATAAAATGGACGATACGGTGGATCGATACGAAAATTGCGGTCTGGAATCTCCAAAGTCCTTAGGAATTCACAACGCAGCAAGTCGGGGATGGAAAGGAGGAGAGGAAGGGGTGGATGAGTGGGTAGTGGGTGGTGGGAGGGACGTACGATAGAAGATGGCGTACATATAAATCGAGCAACTTAAGTCAGTATAATGGACTATCGATTCTTGGAAGGCTAGGGTCGTGTTCCATGGTTGTATGCAACCGTCGGGGCGTTTATTTACTGGAAAATTAACCGTAAGTCAATGCCCGTCGTGGGAGACGCTGGATTAGGAAGAATCGCTTCTCTGATGGCGTTTCTCCTGGAAATGTCACGATTTCTCTTCCTCAGTGTTTCCCTCCACGGGTTTATTCAACCCTCGTTTTGTACTGGATTTTTTCCATTAATTTCGCTTCCGTGGGGGAGGGGAGGGGGGGGGGGAATTATTCTCATTCGAATCCCTCAATTTATTTAAACAAGAAAATTGATGACAAATAGGCGGATCCGGAGAAAAATTCACTGGGGGATGGTGAATAGAGTAATCGCCCTTTTTCATAGGGAAAATATATTTGAAATTTTCTACGGAGAAATGATTTTCATTGTTGGTTTTTTAAATTGACAAAAAACTTAGTTAGTAGAGAAGAAATCAATTTCCGGCGGTTTAATAAGTTTCCGTTGGTCATTTAGGTTAATGAAGATGATTAAATCAATTAATATAGCGCTCAATGAAAATGCGTTAGAATGAATAATTAAATGAGGTCAATGTTCATTTTTATTAACGTAAGGTAGATAAATATGAGATAAAAAGATATGAGAAAAAATAGGAGGATCATGTGGTAAATGTAATGCGCCTTTTTCTTGTACTAACATCACAGAATAAGTAATCTGGGGAAGTACTTCTGAAGAGATGGATAAGGAGAGTTCGATACTTGTTACAGAAATAAGGAGAAATCGATATTCAATGGGCTGTAGTCTTTTTATTCAACTGATATCCTAGGGCTTTTTCCGGGAAATTCGGTCGTGACAGCGTGATTACATCACGGTGTACTGATAAATTTCGCAATATTTCCGCTCGACGTTGTAGCCGAGCTTAAAAGAATGATAAAATTCAATCGGCCAGATAAAAAATCCGCTTCATTTTTTATCACAATAAAATACAAATTGTATTGAATAAAAAAAATTCATCGATTCTTATCGGACGGCGGTAATCAACGAATCAATACATCCTGTTCGTAAATCCTGCAAGAAATTCCACGTGCATTTACAACGCCAACATTAAATTCTCATACTCGACTCTCGAAATGCCAGTAAATGAATTATAATTTAAGAAATTTAGAACTATAAATCTATTAATTGATTCATTTGTTGTATGGACCTACAAAGTTTAAATGAGTTAACAAAATAACTAAAGTTTCTTCCATCTTTATCAATTTAAGCCCGGCCCTAGTCAAACTCAAAGATAATTCATTCCCCCGTTGTCACAGCCAGTGATTCAATGAGGAATTCAATAAAATTAGATACAGGGAAAAAATAAAAAACAAACGTAAATTTTCCTTTTGAGGAAAGTTTTCTCTGACAGATTCACTTGACAAACTATCTACCCGAGTGGAGCTCCTGCAGTCGGAAAACTTGATTCGAGCTAATCGACTCGTGGCTCGAACGAATACCCCCCACACCCCCCCACCCCCTGCCTCACCCTTTTCAGCCATTTAATTCGATTCGTCACTGACAATCAAGTCCACCTCTCGCCCTTTTTCGTGGGGGAGGCTGGTTTGCCTATCCCCTCGGTGGAGTTTCGAGTTTTTCATTCTATATATATACTGTCGGCGGTAAAATGGTCACCGCTGCTACAGTTGGCGTACGCCGGAAAATTATTCAAGCTCCACGGGTGGGGGCCTCGGGTCTCCCACGATTTTCCTGATAAATTCGATTAATGCCGACGGTTTATTTTTTGTTTTCCACTGAGCGCCAGGGGAGGTTGTGTCTGTACTGGCGGTCTAAAGGGAAATGCCAGGTTCACATTTTGTAGTTCGAGGGTCACAAAAATTTTTAAGACTTCTGTGAGTATTGAACTCGTTATTTTCCAAGTGCATACGATTCATTCCGACGGTTCATTTTGGTTTCTATGAGTGGTACGTTCGCACTCTTGTGTGATAACGCTATCAGGCCGCTTCAATTGGATCATGCAATTTTCACGAGGCGAGACGAAGTTTACATCAGGGAGTAATGAGTACTCTGTATCCATTAGTTGATTGTGATGTTGAGGATTCATGGGAGGAATATTCGCGCGTCGAGGGTTCGTCGGAGTTTTATGCAGAAATAAAAGTTTATGCGCTTTTTGAAAGTGTCGTTTTGTCATTTCGCGTTTGTTGGTGATGCGGAATTCTGGGGAGGAATTTAATCGAGTGGATTTGTTTTTAACTTTGACAACTGTTGGGGATTTCATTCAATTTAACTTGTATACCGCGAGCGACCAATAAATTCCCGGATTCAACAAACAAATTTCTAGTGTACGGGAATTTTTACCTAGATTGCCCTTCGCGTTCTTTTTGCGGTGCGCATTAGAATTTTTCATCGTGTAAAAATTCCGTGAATTCACCTTTTCAGACATTTTTTTACGATTAAAAAAAAACGAAGTTTTTGGTTCGGTCAATGCACGGAGAAACATTCAATAAAAATGACGGAAGGAGAATTTTGTGAAAAAATTTTACGATACGGTGACATAAATTTTCCCAATCACTTCCGTAATCGATAAGCAAACTAAAGTCCCGTAATTTCTATTGAATATTATCTGAGTGAATTAATTTCTAACTCCCATTAGTGACTCCAATCAAGAAAATTAATGGAGAAGAAATAAAAAATCCTTGCGGAATTCGTAACTCAAAAACATGAATAAGAACTTGAAGAGGGGGGAATAAAAATTCTGTCAAACCGATGCTAATCGGATTTCCTCCTCTTGTCGGAAGTCACGGATAAAAAATAATGAAATAAAAATCCACATGTGACTGATATAGAGTAACTTGTCCATTCCTGTGACATCCCCGTTCCGTTAGCTGAGAAAAAACGTGCAAGTCACGTATTCTTTTTATTCCACCCCAACATTTTATTTTTCCATCTGTCAATACGTCGAGTCTAGGGTGCCAATGCCCCCGGTCAGGTGGGAAATGCAATGGCGAATTAATTGATTCCCACTAATTGATTCTTCTCGATGAAACCGGTGGAGCAAAAATGAATAAAAAAAAACAGTGCAAACGCGAATGAAAAGACAGAAGTAACGAAGAGCAAATAATAATCACTGTGTGCTCTCCTCTCCCATACGTTACATTATCCGGTAATTCATAATGGAAGGGATTCCTCTCGGTTCCCATTTCTTCCGCCTCCATTCCACTGTATTATTCGCAAAGAGTTAATCCCGGTCTCAGTACACGAGGTCGTAGAATCCACTCTCAACGATTTGAAATCTCGATTTCTCTCCCTTCAGCTGGTGAAATGGCTAGTGAGAGAGAGAGTCACGTCGTTTTGCAATGTAGATTGAAAAAGCAGTCCCATTATAAATAATTTAAATGCATTGCTTTTGGAACAAAACAAAAATAAATGCAGACACTAAAAAGACGAGGACTATTTTATGCGGTAGCAAATGCCAGTTGCTTGCACTGTTTTATCTCAGTCGTTTTTTTTTTATTCTCTCGTGCAACTCTACTTTTATTACGGTTAACTCGCAGGTGGGGAGAAATATTAGGCGATGGCATTTCAATTATGTATTATGGTAATTACAAAAGTATTAACAGAAAAGTAAGTGTTAAATAATGATTAATTGTCTACATTTCATATTTCAATGATTACTAATATATTGAAATATTTTGGAATCTGTTGGAAAAGGGGGGAGGGGGAGAAAAGAAAAATTTAAGATGACGATTTTTCCGGGAATTCCTTTAATCTGAGACTCGCGCCCGCATTGCCTTTTTTCCATCGACGGGACTGATTTCTTCATATATAAATGGACTCAACTCCTTCCAACCCTAGATACAGAGGAACGTGCCACCAAGATTACACCAGCCTAATCAGTCGGATTGCCTGCAATTTGCCCCTGTTATCTACCTCTTGCACTATCGCGATTCCTTCGAGTTCTGCTCTTTTTTCGCAACCCCAGTTTTTCTCCACCTCTTACTATCGAACTGATCGTATCGCAGCCACTAGCTCTCAAGATTGAATCTTCTTCAATAAACTTGGTTGAGTCGTACGACATTATTGAATGAATCCGTTAATTGATCGTTAAAATATCTACTTATCCTGGAAAGACGGATTTTCGAAAAAAAAATAATTATCCTTGTATTAAAGGGTGAAAGGAAATTGATTTCCAAATATATATAGAAAAATTCATAAATGAATTACATTTTAATTGATATCGTCAACTAAGCAATACTTACATATAAGGTAAAAAGGAATTCATTTTCACAGTGATTATTAATTGTTAGAATAAAAAAAGACTCACCCTGATTATTACTGGCGAAATTTTGATCCTTACCTGCAACAGAATAAACAAACAATTATAAATACCACTGAGGAACTAAACATGAGGTGTTAGTCGGGGGTTTTACGCGATTTACCAGAATTTTCGTAATCCTCTCGGTGACAGTTTACTGGCGCAGACTAGATACAATTGTTTGCGGATAATGAAGAATTTCCGCTTGTGGCACGTTTTCCGATTGCGACGTGATTTTCCATATGTGTACTCGAAGTATCAACTGGGGGTTTGCATGACGCGTGGATTGTGGAGCACTTGAGGGATGGATTGCGGAATTTCGAGATTGTGACCTAGGGATTTTTTTGCGCCTCAATCTTCGGTAATTAATTGTATAATCGGATTAACGAACGGTCGAGTCAACAATCAGGAGTGAATTTAGGGTCGAGATGGAGTTCTTGAACATTGATTTATTTCGACCCTCCGGAAGCCACTTGAGGTGTCCAAGAACACTTCAGCCCTTTCTAAGTTTTTTTTAACCCCTCCACTCCCGAATTCCCGTCAACTTCGTCACTACTCTTTCCGCATAGAGTGTATATATGTGGATTATGTATCAATATCAATGGATTCCGCTGTATATATTTTTTCGTGAGAATATATATGTATATTCTATTTTATTTGTATATATACAAATAAAATATGTAACAAACGGAATTATATTACGACGAGTGATTAAACATAATTTATGACATTGACGTCACCAATTACTCTTACGTAATCGCAATTGTGGAATTAAAAATTAACGGAGTAATTTAGCGGAACTTTTTTGGAGTGTTCTGTAATACGGAGAAACGGACGATTGGAGGAGATGGAATGCTTTCAGGGGTTGGACTTTGATCATAAAGAATAAATTCTACGGTACATCAAAGGCACGATTTTTCCTCGCGATTTCTAGATTTCAATACGGATACAGTTTCAATATCAATCCGATTCAGGATAAATCAAAGAATTTTTGTAGAGCCTCACGAAGAAAATGGAAGGAATTTCTTCAAAAGATTTTCCAAAGTTTTTTTCCAGTTTTAAAAGACTGCCAAAATTAAAAATTACAAAATCGTCGTCCTTAGAACTACCACTTTGTTTTACAAATTATTAAAACAAATTTGAATTTAAAAAATTTGTAGCGGGCATTTGCACCGTCGTTTTCCCGTGACATTCTTCATATCCTTCATCATCGAAAAATAGGTGAATTCCCACATTAGTCCCGGATTCTCCCGGGAATTCAGCGATCACTCCCTCGAAAAAGTCAGATCCCAGTTTTATAGATCGAACGAGAGACGAGAAAAGTATATAACGTCTATGTACCAAGGGCCAGAGATTGGTATTCGTTGACGTACATATGGACTAGTCTCGTGTATGTGCACACTTACGAAAGCCTGGTAATATAGTTGGCGACCCGATGAAAAATTGAATGTCTTCGACGTCCACTGTTCTCCGTGCATTGGCCAGAACTTTCCCCTTTCAAAGAAGAATGAGAGAAAGAGGAAAGTACGGGATAAAAAAAAGGTCAGGAAAGTAAGGAGGACGAGTGAGTAAGGAAAACTAAAGTGATATCCAAGAAGAATTCCCTTGCTTCCAGCAATTGATATTGAACGGCGTTATTATATTTATAGAGCCAATGGCGACCCATCCCTGGTGAATAAAACATGTACTCTACTATCTTGAGAACTGAATTGCCAGCTCGATACTCCGGATATCACCTGACAGATTTTACATTTTTGTTTGCCAACCGCCAAATCATTCCGGACTTTAATGAGGATAATTAGATAAATCGCATTTCCACACGTCGGAATTAATTTCTCCATCTGAATTTAACCGGAAAAAAAAATTCCCCTCGTGAAATTCCTCGGGATGATTTATATATATTTTTTAATTATGATCAACTAGGGGAAAATTATCCTAGAGGAATTTTTCGGAATAATTTTGACGGGTTAATTAGATCCGTGAACCTCCATCGAAGCTGCAGTAATTAACGTTCCGATAATTTTTTAAAGGTTTCCCCTCCGAAATATCCTTCAGGAGTGATTATTCCTCTCATCCTAGGATTCAGGATGAAAATAATGTTATATAAATTAAAAAATACGTATAAAAAATGAATGAAAATTGATGGAATGATTAAATTCAAATTCTAAGAATGGGCAGATGGTAAAATAGTGAGCGAAAGGAGCGGCCGAAAGCATCGATAAGACATAAAATAAAGACAAACGGAAACAACGGGGATTCAGGAAAATGCGCGAGAAAACAATGTGAGAGATTTGTATTCCGTGATATTGGAGTGAATCAGTAAATTCAATAGCACCCGTTCTCACCGAAACTCGCATACACGGAGAAATGGCATTTCTCATCGTTCATAAATTTGTTTCGCTCACTTCGCTCAACCGTGTATCGCAGACACGCGTATTTTCCGGAACGATCCGTATGGATTTCTTATCCTCTTCGAATGTAAGTTTATCGAATAACTTTCACCCTCGGCAGAGCACGTCGATATCCACCTGTGATATATCCAATCGTCTGCTTTCATTCACCACACCTATTTCACTTGCACGTACATCTCTCCATCTTCTTACCTTTTTTTTGTATTTTTTTTATCACGAGCCGACCTTCTATCAGTACATCACGCGCCCCGTCAGGAAACACATGATGACTTCTGCTCCGAGGTTATGATTTCGTGTGTTCTTTTTCGCGGAGATGATGGTATGTCGTTTCTTATCGGTTTTTGGGGATTGTCGGGGATTTTTCATACTTTTCCAACGTCTTGGCGAGATTTTGACCACTTGATATGCAAATTGGGGTGGAGAGGGAGGCGATAAGTTGGAACAGATTGGCAGGTCATTTGGCGGGTGTTTTCGAAGGATAGAGTTTTCTCTGCGACCGTCGGAGGGAGATTTTCTCTCCCTTGTTGATGAGGGATTTGAGGATGGGTGATTGTCGGGATAATTTCAGGATTTTTTCCCACATTACTGCTCTATAGGTCTGTAATAATATTTTTTTAATTTCAAGTGCATAAAAAGTCATGAGGAGTAAAATCGATTCCACGATAATTACTGAAAGCAAGAAGGAATGTCAAGAGAATCGAAAAGGAATTTTCGCTCGATAAAAAAGAAAGCAAAAGTGTACCGAAAAATGTAGTCAACTTCGCAATGGAATAGACTTTAAAATCAATTTCGCGTACTAAACAATGATTGTGAAAAAGCCCGCAGGGATCCTCCCCCTACTTCCCCATCTAGAAAAAACCTGAGGGCTTCATCGAAGCCAGGGAAAATCAAATTGCTGGATTGGTGATACGACACGCGCTCTATAAAAGCAGAAAATGTCTGCAAAGGGGCAGCAAATTCGGGATGAGAAGAGTGATTGGAACAAAAAGCAAAGAGTACTTGAGACAGGCAGAAAAAAAAGGGAAAATGTAATCCTCGAGGAATCCATTCCGGAAGCCCAACAAGATTACGACGGAGTTGCAAAATCCAAGTAGCTGATGGCAGTCCGTGATGTCTTCCGATCTTTTCACCTGGGGAGAAGGAAAGGTTCGAGACTCTTTGGAAAAATTCCCCATGGGAGGCCTAACCTAATGCAATTCGATTTGGGAAATTTCAAACTACCCCAATCACAAGTACCCGTACTTGAAATGAAACTTGAATTTTTTCATTTCCGCGTAAAAACGCGTTTCATCAAATAATTAAAGTTCTTCAATTATCCTAAATTATGACAGTTATATCGTTATCTAATAACGCCTCTAAATGCTTCAGATTTATTCCGCGTGAAATTCCCCGAGCAAATTTTTCCCATTATTTCGATTTCATCAAACACGGGGAAACAACAACTCAAATAAACCCACGTCAAGTGGGACAGCGATTTCATTTCGAAATAAACACAGGATTCCGGTTTAATGAGTAATATTTTTGCAAGTAAATTCTAGCCCCAATGCTCGTATTTGTCAAGCGAAATCAAATAACGCGTTTCAAAAAGTAGATATTCACGTTGTACAATCACTGAAATAAAAAAAAAGGGGGGGAATTTTTCACAGTAGTGGAAAGAGTATTTTTCCTCGGCATCGAGACAGTTCAAAGACTAATGGGAAAGAGATTGCGGTGTTGATGTCTCTCTCAGGCTTTCGTCACTTCGATCCCTTACGGTTAAAAGGAAATGTCCACGAGGTGAAACCCCAATAATTCTCTATTTTTTTTTACTCCCCCTCGTTTTTTATCTCCATCGTATATCGAACAGGCGATACTTCCAGGCTAACGGTCACTCTGGAAAATTTACGACCAATTGTTTATTTTTTAATTATTTTTTAAATCATCCCAAGATTTATTCTCGTTCATGTGATTAATAGTTTTTCCAATTAAAGATTTATTGGAATTAGCGCTTCGGCATTAAATATCAATAATAATATATTTCGATATGTCAAATAATTGTTCCCAAGATATATCAATTATTAAACGTTCGATATATCTTTCCTTAATTTTATGGATTTATCGATTTTGTTGATGAGTTGTCATTTTTTGTTCTGAAAACACATAAAGAATCCTTCAATCTTTTAATCTAGAGGAAAAATGAAAAATCTATCTCGATCTTGTTGTTATTCGATGAACTTTTCTGGCTTTCCCGGGGAATAAAATTGTATTTTCCTCGTGAAAACCGATAATGAAAAAAAAAATCATCACCTCGGACGATCACCTCATTCGTTCCGCCCGGCAAAAGTCCCCCCCTCCGCAATTAATCAACAACAATTTTTTGCAACATTACCCAGCAGGTTGCAAGTGTACCCTTTCATGTTCCCGGAAGCCACTAAGCGGCGAATAATCGTCCCAGGCCCGTTGCTTTATCCTCTTTGTTTCCAGTACCCCCCAACAAACAATGCGGTATCCCACAGGGCGTCTGACCCATGCACCGACATTACTACTTACAATTTATGACGGAGTGGAAACAACCCGTGAAGAAAAATACCCACAATTTCCAAATAAATATAAAGAACTACATTATTATATCAATTCGCGTCGCCCCATATA